TTCCTCCTCCTTTCCGGGCGCTACACAACCAAACTCCAGAAACATTCTGGCAATGGCAAAATCCCAAATCCAAGCATGAAGTGATCTGATCTGAGATGTGGTCACAACTCGAGCACAATTCAATTCACGGCATAGTCTCAAGCTCAACCACAAATTAAGACAACCTAGCCCTAGGTACAATCTCAAACCAAGCATGACCTACCCCAGTTGACAATCCTACGGTCAAGCACAACCCAAAGGAACAATCTAAACCACAGCTTATCCCATCTAGTCCTCAGGCATAATCTCAGGCACAACTAGTTTGGCCCATCCCGGGGCATAATCCCAAGCATGATACATCCTTTAAATTAAAATAACTTATGATCCTAATAATTCCCCATGTTATTTGTGTAATTTCCCTTCTTGTCTTGTATCATTGTCCAGTACCATCACTATATATATATATAATTCATGAGTAACTGAATATTTAGCATTCTGGGATTTTCTTTCGGGTTGAAGATACATGATTGATGACTTTTGCATTGAGCTCTATATAAGACTCAAGTTACTCAATTCAATACTAGTAATAATTGGTTTTAGGCCAATAAGCAACATCCTGTTCCTAGAGGATGGGGTTTAAATACTCTTTCATGGAAGCAATAATTGGGCCTTAGCCCCTATTAATACCTGGGTTTTATGCCCCTGATTAGGAATCAAATTTTTTTTGAAAAAGAAGTCCACGGGGAAAAAAAAGAATATTTTCTCTCGGTATTACCTGCACGGTATTTGCTCCAAGAAGAATAAATTCAGCAGCATCACCACCTGTCTCAACGCCACCAATGGCAGAAAGTGAATAATCATTGTCAGTAAATTCTAATTGCATCATTTTGGCAATGCTCATAACTTTCCCAAGGGCAATAGGGTGGACTGCCTTGGCTGAATATCCCCCAGGAGTTGAGTATCTGAAAACAATAAAATCAATTAATTGTTTCATATGATAAATAACCAGTCAATGGAAAACTGTTATACGTCTTAAGAGAATAATACTAACCCCTCAACACATGGCTCTGGATGCAATGTATTGAGATTGATTCCCATAACGCTCATGATGGTATTAATTGCAGAAACCCCTTCACACCCTGAACTCAGAGCCACTTTGGCTGGCTATATGTCAAAGAAGGACAATCCCAATCAGTGAAAATTTTACTTAATAATAAGACTTTCCAATGTGCCCCCAAAGAGAAAGATCAAGGAAGGCGAAGGACATAGGGAATAAATGCACCACTTACTTGCATGTATTGAAAAAAAAAATTGAAAAAAAAAAAACAATATTAACTTATGGCATAACTGATACAGATGGAGGTTCTGAAGAAGCAGGTAAAACAGCTTGTTATATTCTCCAAGTTAAAATGCAGACGCAAACCAACTGATGTGCTCTGGTTCTAGCATATGCTGCTCAACAGGGGATCACCTTGATGGATTATACTACTATCTATTATAAAACAAACATACACAATTTTGGCATCCGAAGGCTCAAAGTTGAGAATTTCAAGGTCAAAATCAAAAGCAATACGTGAAACTTTTGTTTTTGTGGGAAATATACAAGAGATGAATATTGCTCAGTTTTGCATAAAAATAAAATGTCAAACACTGACTCTAGTAAGATAAAATATCTATGCTAGCTCTATGTTCCCCATCAAAGGTGATGAAATGCTAAAAAAATAAAACCTCTTCATGTTGGCAGCAGTTTTAACCTGCATCAACTGACAACAGTTCATCTATACACAGCCCGCTGCCTATTTATTGTCAACCCTGAAGTCAAGCCAAAAATTCCTGCAATGGCAAAAAATCTGTCTAATGAAGGACAGTGAAGCAAAAAGAACAAGGAAAAACTTTGCACCTGTGTGATGTCAGTGATGTTGGGAGTCATCTTTGCCCATACTGGAATGGTAGCTTTTGCATTTATCCACCCACAAACCTCTTCTAATAGCACACAATCTTGCCCAACTGCTGCACCCATTTTACGCTCTGGCATGCCATGAGGGCACGAGAAATTGACCTCAATTGCATCCTGGATAGAGATATCAGAACCCACAAATGTCTAACACTAATAACAACATGCTATAGTTAGAAGATAAAATATGCATAAAAATCCAAATTAGGTAATAAAAAAAGCTTACAACTCCAGTCTGTTCAACTCGATCAATAAGTTCCTCCCAAGCAGCTTTGTTATACTCCTCCATAATAGAAGCAATAAGAATCCTATCTGGATACTCTTTTTTCAATTGCTCAAATTCTTTCAGCATTGTTTCAAAAGGACGATCACTTATGAGCTCTATGTTCTCCCACCCAATGATCTGCCCTTTCGGTGAACCATTTGCACCAGCGCGTAACCGGGCATATCGTGGGGTCACATTGATAACTTTAGCCGCATCTAGTGACACCTAATGAAAATAAAAAATAAATGACCATCAACGATTTCTTCAACACAAATTGATTACAAAAAAGATAACTATTGTAAATGCAAACAGAAGTTTACATGTAGCCACACTTGAATTGCTTTCACTGAGTAATTTTTGGGAAGGAGGGAGGGAAGGAGAGAGAAAATGATCAAAAATAAATTTTAAGTTCAGATCATTTTAAAATTATAATTTTACCCATATTCTCAGAATGCTTTGCATTTTTCTTTAATGGTAGCTTTGCACTTTAATCAACTGGGGAGTTGGTTCTACGCCCTTTGCCTTTTCTTTTTGCAATGTTATAGACATACCTGGTCATTGCCCTGCCAAAGTTGAGTGGGAGGGTTTCTCTCATCAACAGGGAGACAAATTAATTATTGCCAATGTTCACCGTTCTAGAAAACATGAAGCTTCTCATAATAGCTTTTTAAGGTAAGTCATGAACTATGTCTAATCATATAATAACCAATGATTATCTAGTTTAGGAAACATAAATTCTTCATTTGACATGCCACTGTACCCTTCAATGTCAAATATAGGAATTAGAGCTATGATATTCCTCCTTTCTTTCAGAAGGTTCTGCACCATATAACATAAACCATTTTCTTACTGCTAATGTTTATGCCTTAAAGGGTTTAATTTTAAGTTACTTCTTTTCCTTTTAAAGTTGATAAATAATCAAACTTATTGGCTGAAAAGAATAATCAACGATGATAACAATAATAGAAACAGATGCCCAGTACATGCATCTCTGTCTTCTAAATGCCCTGTAATTTTGTGAGAGAACATTACTTGCCTCACTACTATTTACTCAAACTAGCACCACAATCTTCCAGATATTTTTATTCCATTTATGTTTCATTGCAATTGACTCAAAATCATAGGATTAAAATCTGTTTTCATGCTCTTTGTGGCTTTCCTACCTTAGATTAAAGATCCTCATGAAGCAAATATTGCAGAAGACATGACCTACAAGACCAAGACAGAAAAATAGACCTATATGATATCTTAAGACATTGGTATAACTCCAATAAGGTGAAATATTTGGACTCCACTTGGTATAAGCAAACACTTTATAGTTCTCATTTTTTAAATTCATATGTGTTTATGGTATAAGCAAGAAAACAGTAATATCTCAAAACTTTCCTCAAACTACTGATGGCCCATACTTGAAATTCCAGAAACTAGCACGCCAGTTTGAATAACTTAAAAAGATTCAGTTGCATCTGATAGAGGTACTGGATCCTTTACAGCCATAACCGACAGAGTCTCCACTTCAAACCACCATCAACAAATCTCATATTAATTTCATGCAAACCAAGAAAACCCATCACCAAAATTCAGTGATTCAGAGTTATCACAAATGGTGTGAACTTACATCCCCCTTTAAAAATGGATAAATTTAGCAGTATAATAGATTTAAAAAAAAAAAAAAGAGAAACACCATTAGCTCAAAACAACTTATGGAACTTTTAGATCAAAGGAGAATAAAAGTAGTTGACCAATACCTGACCAGACCCATGTTAAATCAATCAGGAAGAGAACATTATAAAAGGAGAAATATTAATCACAGGAATTAAGATTCATGGATTCTTCACTGCCAAGAAATTACACTCATAAGTTCCATAATTGTTCAGTCCTACTGTTTTTCTACGTCTGATGCATCGACATTTCCACACAAACAAAATAAGAACCTATAGAGTAGAAAACAAGAAAGGAAGCAAAGATCAGAGAAAACAACTCACAGTTTTGGCAATCACGGCACCCCAACCTTCATCAAAGGCTCTCTTCATGACAGTATAGTTGGTACCCGGTGGACCCGACCCAATAACAAAAGGATTAGGCATTTGCAACCCATTGACCGTTACACTCAAATCAGGTTCTGCTTCAGCCCGAGATGCTAAGACCCGGAACCCACCTCTTGTGGGTCGAAACAGAGTGGGGTAAGGGTGACGACGAGTCGGAACGAAGCCAGCAAAAGAGCTTCTGTTCTTACCAGCAACAGGGGTAAAGTTGAAACTGAGAGAAGCCATGGTTGAGCGACGAGAGCTATCTGAATTTCCTGCTGTCTTAGTTATTAATGGAGAAAAATGAAAGAGATTGAATCTGAGTTGTAAAGAACGTGGATTCAGAGGAATCCTTTGCGTCTTATTACTGATTTTGATGTGTCGATTTTATAATGGAGCATTACTCGTTTGGCCAATTTTATAATCCAGCGTTTACAGCCAGCACTGGCGCATTAAATATATAAGAATTAAAAAAAAAAAAAAAAAAAAAAAAGGTTTTCAAAAAATAATAATTTCGTCATTTTACAGTATTGTTATTAATCATTCATAGTAGCAAAAATAATTTTTTTTCCAATTGTCAATCTTTTAGTATTCTTCAAACGAAAATTCTATGCTCAACAACAAATATATATATATATATATAAATATAAATAATCATGAAAATTAGGTATCCAAAATTTCGTCTAAGAAATTAGGTGTCTACATTTATCTCAAAATAAACTAGGAAACCTCCAACTATCTTCTTTATTTTATTAATATAAAATAATATTTATTTTTTAAAAAAATTATAGAAAGATAAATTTTTTTATTACTTAAATCTTAATCGATGTTTGTCATTATGCAATCAGTGCCAGCCTACACTAAATGTTTAGTTGAAAATTTGTAGCACCAAATAATTTTGGCCTTTTTACTTTTCTCTCTTTAATCATGTGAATATAATTTTTTCTCTCCCAAATTATCACAAAGTTTTAATTTTAACTATTCCTCCTTTGTTGAAGTTCTCGACTGCTTTTGTCTTTTTTTCGAATGTTATTAAAATATCGAATAATATTCGAATCTTAAAACTTTAATGATCTAACTTAACATGAGAAATAAAATAATATTATTGTGTTTTATTGGGTGCAATCTTCTTCTTCTTGTTCGATAAAACCCCAATAATTCTTTTTTTCTTTATGTGAGTCGTTCTTCCATTTATCCACGAAAAATAAAAAATTAAATAGGAAGTAGAATTGTCCACAACTCCCTTTGCGGCTTTCCTAATAGTATATACAAGAAAAAATATATATATTTAACACATATTTTAAGTTGCAAAGAAGAAAGATACTAAAAATCAATAGATTTATGAATAGTGAATACATACATACATATATGTCAATTACAGTGCGAACTAAAGAATACAATCATTCAAACTCAGATCTCTTGACATCTGCATTTTTTGTTGTTGTTGTTGGTTTGTAAATAATTTCTAATTAACATCTGAAATAATCCAAACGAAGAAACAAAAAAAAAATGATTTTGAAGTTTGGGTTAAGATGCCATACCACCTCCTCACACGCTTTTATTTCTTGTATTCCCGACACAGTTCCTGATTGCAGACGCGCAGAATCAGTCACACAAGCGCAAAGCTCTTTCTGTTTTTTTAATTTTTTGAAAATCAAAACGATAAATAGAAAACTACGAAACACGAAGATCAAATAACAACTCGGACCGATTGAAGTTGAATATTATTTAAACGATGATGGAAAGGATGTGTGCGGGAAAAGGAATAAACCAATTCATAAACCAGAACGGGATAAATACAAACCGGCTGCAACACCGGCGACACAGCCAAAGACGAAACTCTTTGCTGCACGAACAAGCTCACCGTTCTTCTCCATTGTTGGATGGATTCAAGATATGGAGCAACCATTGATTTTTATAAACTCAGATTTAGATATCACAGAGTCAACGCAAACAACCTCTTTTTTGTTTGTTTTTGTTTGACGGATCAATCATGAAAGGCCATTTTAAACTGAATGGGCCGTTGATCCAATGATATCTTAGGAATCTACATCCACATCCAGTGATTGAACAATTTTTCAGGGAAGTTGTTTTAAGTTTGATGCTTGATATGGGAAAAGAGCCTTTGATGATTTTGATTTCTTGCTTAGCCTTTTTTTTTTTGGTAGAAAAAAGAGTAGCAGAGATAGAATCAGAAGATACAACGAAGCTAGGAGAAACTGAGGTGCTTATTCAACTAGTTGAATTCCAACATTCAAGTATAAACAGGCCAGTCACAATTGAAATTTCCTCAGCATATGGCATCTTAACCAATAAACTCGGTAATGCATAACAAAAGGAAACAGAACGAACGATACAGATAACTGATGGCAAAAGATTTATAGTAGTAGCAAATACAGAAGAAACAAAACTATAGATCCCAAAACAAGTATCTCCATTCAGTTTCTGTTTTTGACACCTAGGCGAGTCAATGACACTCAGCTACTACGTGTCGTTGCCAGCCCTTGACACAAGGCTACTCATATAGCTCAAACATAAATTACTAATGTAATGAATACAAGAACAGAAGCTAATATGATTTTCCACAATGTATCAAACTTCCAGCACCCAAGAAAAGACCAAAAATTGCAGCACTACCCAGTGTGGTTTGTCCAATATACATGACCTTCAGAAGTCCTGGCACCTGCATCTCCCCATTCAAATAAATATCACATAATTATTTTCATTTCACCACTCAAATTATCTTGTTGCCAAACTTTGTTAACTGGAAAACGATTGTCTAGACAGGAAATCAACATATATTTCTACGATACAAAAGAATATTTGATTTCCATAATAATAGAAAACTGAAAATTTTCCGTAACAGAACAGCCCCATAATATTCAACTAATAAATTTATTTGCAAATTACAAAAATGATGAAGAATCAAGAACTGGAAGATTAAGTTCAATTACAGACCTTATACCTAATGGCCTCATATGTCCCGTAGACAGCACCTGCTCACAAAAACAAATAATGAGACACAGAATCCATGTATAACCTACAAGGCCAGCCAGAGGAAATTCGAGAAATGTTATAGGAGTAAATAAATGTAACTGTCTCATGATTGTTACCCTCAAGCATGTTATTTTGCTAACCTATTGCTTTTTTGAGTTTCCTGCTAGAGCTTCAAGAAATTACCGCTGGAAATACTTTAGGAATTAAACAGAAGCATAAGAGTAAGTCAAAATGGGGAACGATCCAAATTGCTATTAAGAAAATTACTAGATAATGTGGCTTGACAAAATAAAACTGGAAAGAAAAACATGCTGGTAGCTTGTCTTCACCATACAGCCACTCATTGACAATTAGTGAATCTCCCGTTCAATTATGCGCAATGGTGCTAAAGAAAAATGCATTTTCTTCTCCCTTTCCAACTGTAAATCCCTAGTGGAGTAAAAACTTTAGTTATTCAGCAAAAGTGCATTCTCCATTTCATGTAACATGCCAAACAATACTTTGCTTGTTGTTTACCAAGAGAATAACCAGCCTAACAAGATGACCTCATGCATCAGACAGAAGCATTCAGAGTTCAAATCTGTCAATTTCACAAACCAATAAAATGTGATGAGTGGAAGATTGGTGAATGGCTGGTCAGCTCACTCCACATGGTATAGCAGAAGACACCAATGTGCTAGGCAAATTTTCTTTCATAAGAGGCCTAACCTCTAAGCACGTAAGATATGTCAAGTACAACACATGTTGCTCAAGTCAGCGGCAAAGCAGTTGATTATCCTTCAGTAAAATCTAGCCATTTTCTATACTTAATAAGCTAGGAAAGTTTCCATCAAATTCAGGAAACACCATTATGTCTTTATGAAGTTCCATCATCAACTATGCAAAACAAATCTTTGCTTTGTAAATCAGTCGCAGCTTAAACAACACCACAACTAGCAAGTGCTTCAAGGGAATCCTAATCTATCAATAAGACAAGAAACCAATTCTACAAAAATCAAATAATAAACTGCACCAACCATTATTCTTTGGCAAACTACTCAAACAAATTACAAAAGAATGAAATTAGGGTTTAAACGAAGGTATAAGCAGGAAATTAAACAGTTAAATTGAATCTGAGGGAATTACCAACAGCACCACCAACTGCACCGCCGACGGCAACGCCGGCTGTCACACGAGCAAGGCAACTGTCCCTTGCCATGATTGATTGGGAGATCGTGATTTGAAGATATGCACAAGAGCTCAGACACAATATAAAGCTGTATATTGTGTGTCAACTGTTCCTTGAAAACTCAAAGAGAAACCACAATCATGAGAACTGGATGGGCCATTGATCCAGTGGTCTCCTAGCTAGACAACTGAAAGGCCCAATCTTACCCTCGTTTTTTAGTTTCAAGTAGATTAAGTTGCCCATTCTCTTCCAATTCCTTTCTTCTATATATTTTTTTTTAAATAAAAATTACTTTTTTAAAAAATTTATTTAGTTATTTGTTAAAAAAATTTATGTTATAAACACTTTACCATCATCCGGTGCTACTAGACACACTCTCGAGTCAACTGACG